AAAAGTCATTCAAAAAGTTAAAAAGTTAACACTATTTACCAAAAGTCAACAATTACGGCTGCACAACTCCCAATCCTAATTTTCCTCTACAAACCAATTTTTACAATTTTTTATTACACATTTTTTCATAAAAAGTCAAAAAGTTAACCCAAGCATCCATATTTTTTCCCTCAACTTTTTAGTCCAAAAAGACAAAAAGTGCACTTATTTAGGACACCCCAAACAATCCCTTAATGTTTAGTCAATTAATTACAGTTGGATATCATTATCCGAGTTGAAAAGTTCTTTTTAAAGAGTGTATAAGTTGAATTTCATGTTTTGTGTAGTTTGAGTTTTTAGAAGTTAAAGAGATAAAATTAAGCATTTCAATGAGTAATAAGAAATTTTGACAGTCATGTTACATCACTACTTTATTTCTAGGGAGATTTGGTGATAGACCATTTAGTGTCTAACTTATTCTTAAAAATGGATAAGAATTATATGGATCCTTTCAAAACCCTCTAATATTTTTAAACTTATTTCTTTTACTATAATACCCTTATATGTGTGTGTGTATGTGTGTGTGGGGGGGGGGAGAGAGTATCAAATTGCAATCACTTTCTCTCATCTCAATCTCTCTTCTCTCTGTCTCGCTCTTATTACTGTTACTTTTCATCGGTGTCACCGCCGCTTTTTACCAGTGCCACCGCCGCTCTCCACCAGCGCCACTGCCACTTACCATGGAATTTTTTTTCTACTGTCTTCATCGCCACCGTCACCCGTCACATCCACAACCTTAGATCTGAGATCATTCACAGTCATCGTCACCAGAAAATAACGGTTTGCAAACCTCAAATCTGAGATCCTTCACTCTATCTCTCTCTGGTTTTGATGGTTCGTGTTCTTTCTCTCTATGTGTGTATATGTGTTACTCATCATTTATGTTCTCTCACTCTCTCCCTTTTCTTCTTCTTCTTCTTCTTCTTTTCACGATACTCTTTCTCTATCTCTTTATCTTCTTCTTATGATGCTCTATTCTTCAAACGGTAAAATTTTATTTTGGTTCATGACACAACACTCCCCTATAAAGCCATCCTTGCAGCTTGTTTCAGAGTAAAATTTTATTTTGAATCATAGTAAACTTTATTTTAATTTAGAGTAAAATTTTACCTTGTAATAAATAAATAATAAAATTTTACTGTCATTAAATAGATCAGCATGTTGTTAACTAGAGTAAAATTCTACTATTATAAAAAAAAATAGAGTACATACTAAATCAACGAACCAGAGTCAAATTTTACTTTAAATCTATGAACAAACAAACAAACAAACAAAAAAACTCTTGATTTTTCATTGCAATATCTCAATTTCTCATTTTTCTGTCAAATCTAAGTTTTTTTTATCTCAGATCTGAAGTTATTGATATCAAATATGAGTTCGTAGGTATCAAATCTGAGATGATGGTGGTTTGACGGTAAAAATGGTAGTCATCGGCCGATGGTGAGGATGAATGACGCCGGTAGACAATGAAGATAGTGAAGGTGATGAACAACCATTGTGTTGATGAAGATAGAGAGAGTGTTGTAAAAGAAAGAAAAGAAAGAGAAGGTATAATGGTCAAATAAAATATTCAAATAACAAATTTTGTCTTTTATACATAATTTTATAATTATGAAGGGTTTTGAAAGTATTAATTTTATTTTATTTATTTATTTATTATTATTATTATTATTATTATTATTATTATTATTATTATTTGACCTTTTAACAAGTAAAGGAAGCTAGGAGGGGTGTATGGTCAAATTTCCCTTATTTCTATAAGTTCTTCAATCTCAGTGTTTTTCAGAGACAGTTAAGTTAGGTTAGGATTATTGAATAGGAAAATAGAAGAAGATGAAATCAAGGGCATTAATGTCTTTTTATATAAAATTTGTCTTTCAAGTAGACATTTTTTTAAGCTGACTCTCAAAATTTGCACACATGACACAATTTTTGTTAATTTTGCTAGAAAAAGTAACGGTTACACTTTAGTTTAGAAGTATAGGAGAGGTATTTGCCTATATTTAAACTAGCCTTTAACCATAGGGGGAAACTGAATTTTGCCAAAAAAATTAAAATTAACACGTGACCAAACAGGGTTCTAAAGTCCCTGGGCTTCAAAGTGGATCCGGCCCATGTTTTTTAGAGCCCTAGATAGACGGCCCACTCTTTTATAAAATCAAGAGACCATAGTTATGCGGGTTAAAATGGATTGATGGTGAGTTGCTAACGGGTTATGGGTTGTTGCATAAATTATCCACCAACTACAGCTACACTTGGTTTTTTTTGTATATTTTTTATTTATAATAATACTTTGAAAATAGAAAACCCACTATACAATGTTAAATTACTGCAAAGTGGACGCTAATCACTGTGTATAGTTTGAGTTTTTTGAATTAAATTTTTTGAAAATTAAATTTTTTTATTTTCGTATTTTTTTGTTTTTAGTGAATATTTTTAAAATTTTAAACATTTTTTTTACTTTTTTAGATGCACCTTACTTAGATATGTCTAAAAAGCAAAAAAAAATTGTGAAAAAATATTTTAAAAAATTAAGAAATATATAAGAATACAAAAAATGTACTAAATTCTTGTATTTTTTTGTATTTTTGGTATTTAGTGAATTTTTAAAAGATTTTTTTTACAATTTTTTTATTTTTTAGGTGTATTTATGTTAGGTGTGTCTAAAAAGTAAAAAATTTGCATAAAATATTAAAAAAAATAGTAAAAACAAAAAAATACGAAAAATAAGAATGTAAAATTTTTTAAAAACTGTTTTTAAAAAATGAGAACCAAACAAAGTGAATAGTATTTACTATTGGTTGGAGTAATAAACTCCAACAACATGTTTGGTTTGTTTAGTTTTGTTTGAGGTAAATTTAAAAAGTTAAAAAATGATTTAAAAAGTTAAAAAATTTATACTATTTAAAAGTAGTTTGTCAGGAAAGTCACTACGATAAAATTATTATTTATCCTTTGAATTTAACTATTCAAAAAATTAAAAAGTTAAAAGTCAAAAAGTCAAAGGGGTAAAATGATCATTTTGATTTCACTATAATATTTTATTACATATCTTTTCGTAAAAAAGTCAAAAAGTTATTCTAAATATATATCTTTTTTTCTCTATTTTTTTAATTAAAAAGTCAAAAAGTGCACTTAGGGATTGTTTGGGGTGTCTTAAATAAGTGCACTTTTTGTCTTTTTAGACTAAAAAGTTGAGGGAAAAAATATGGATGTTTGGATTAACTTTTTAACTTTTTATGAAAAAATGTGTATTAAAAAATTGTATAAATTAGTGTGTAGAAAAAGTTTTGACAGTGTAGATTGTACTATGCCATGTGCAGTATTTTTTGACTTTGGTAAATAGTGATAACTTTTTAACTTTTTGAGTAACTTTTTTTCAACTTGTCAAACTTGGCCTTATATAGCACACCCCAAACAACTACTAAATTTTGTTATAAAAACTAAAAATTAATTTAGCAAAAAATCAAAAAAATTAAAAGTATTTTTCATTTTTATATGATTTTATCTTTTTGGATGGCATAAATAATTTTTTAATATTTATTTTTGTCAAATTAATTTTTATTTTTTTAAAAATAATATTCAAAAATAATTTTAAAAAATAAACTAAACGTGGTCAATGTTGCAACCCCCCCCCCTTTCCCCCCCCCCCCCCCCTCTCTCTGTCTCTCTCTTCCTTATTTTTATGTGTTTGGGTTGCATTTTTATTGATATTTGTTTTCTTTTTCTTTTACTTTTTCTTCCTGTTAAATTTTAAATCTTAATACTTAAAAGAAGGAAAAAGAAAAGAAAAAAAAAAAAAAAAACTTTGCTTGGTGATTTTATTCCTTTCGGATGTCTTTTTTTAATTTATTAAATTCAATTTTTCAAGTCAACCTTCTATAAATATGGGTAATATCGATAAGATTCAATATTTGTTTCTTCTTTGTAAAACACATCACTATATGTAAGAGTGTAACTTGGGCGGATTCAACTCGAATTTAGTCTGAATTTTTTTAAGATTTGGACAAAATATTTTTAAATTCGGTATGGATTTGGGCAAAAATTTCAAAAGCCCGAATTAAATTTGGACGGATTTGGATAAAGATATCAACCCAAAACTCGAATTATACATATATAGATATATAAAAATATTATATATATATATAAATTATTAGTCATTACATGATATTAAAGTAATTTAGATTATTAAATCATATTAAATATATATTATATATATAAATAACTTAAAATCTTACTTTTTTTTATTTTCACTTATAAATTGTAAAAACTACTATAGTGACATCTCTCTTACATTATATAAATGATTTGTTTTAATAGTATTAATGATTTTCTATATATAAAAAAAATGTAAATAAATTCAAATTTTAATAATTTAGTAATGTAACTGGAAAAAAAAAAATCGGGTTTGGGTGGACCTGGGCAATTTTAAATAAATCAGGCCACTTGTGCAATTCTGGTTTAACTCGAGTTGGGCTTGGGCATGCAATCTCAAGTTACAATTCGGGGTTTAGGTGTGTTTGGACAGATCTCAGCACAACTTGAACTGAGTTTGAACAACCTCCCATTTCGATCAAACCCGTCCGAGTTGCACCTCTAACCATATGCATAAACATATGCAATTCTATAAAAAGAAGAAGAAAAAAATTGTTAGCACAAAGTTTTAAATGAAAATTGCATCTACTAGAAAAATATGTTAAATAAAATAAATGAATTGGTCGGGTTGATTTCTTCAACCCGCAGCCATTTTAGTCCAAATCATTTATATACGGATTTGGATTTAGATTTTGACTCATCCAAACCCGCCCATTTGCCACACCACTAAAAAAAACCCATCACACCCAAAAGAAAAAAAAAACCCTAGCCCGTACAATTTGAGTCAATGGCCCGTATAATTTCGAGCCCTAGACGGCCCATTATTACACGGACGAGACTATAAACGCTAGCCCTCACTCCAATTCACTGTCTTTACACACACAAACCCTAGTCAGAGCTCAGGGGGAAGATCTTACGCCGCAGAAGCAGAAGCAGAAGCAGAAGCAGAAGCAGAAAATGGAGGCTGCGAGAACTGTGAAAGATGTCTCTCCTCACGAGTTCGTCAAGGCCTACGCCGCTCACCTCAAACGCTCCGGCAAGGTCTCCCTTTCTCTCTCTCTATGTATAGACTTTGAAGTTAGTTTCGAAGCTTGATTTAGGTTTTTGACATTGGTATTCCTTTTGCTATGCTGGTATTTGAGCCATCTAATTCTGTGTGGTTCTTGTGCAAATGTGTTTGGATTTAGAGATTTTTTTTTTTTTTTATATGTTGGGGAAATCTACGAAAGTTTAAATTTATGGTGTGAAAATAAAAAAACAAAAATTGATGAGCAAAAGTTTTTATTTTTTGTGGTGAGAAAATTTATGTGATTTTAGGGTTTATGTTACAAAATTTTATTGCCTTGTTATCAAGTCAAATACCATATGCACCCTTTTTTAGGGGTGCACATTTTATTTTTTCTTTTTGTCATTCTGTTTTCATATATATGAACTACTCATTTGCTCTCTACAGTATGTTTGTTTTGTTAAGGTTCATGAATTTGGCATATTAAGGTACTTTCAGGACCAAAAAGCTGCTATCTTTATCTGCAATTCAAATGTTGTTTTTTTCATTTTGTTTCTTTTTGTGGCGTTTGCGCTTTAATTCACTAAAATTTTGGGATTAATCACCATAGTTGGCTATTAGAGTGATGAAAGATGAATTGGGTGGTGCTTTCGACATATTTTTGTCTGAACTTCAAACTTGTATTTATTTCCCTTAAATCTGAGAAAATATTTACCTTGCTTGCATATTGGAATCCATTTCTGGTTCCTGATCACCAAATTTGATTTAAACAATGTTGCTAATTGCTACTGATATTTTAAGCAACAGAGGGATTTGTATGTTGAAATGTTGTACTGTTATTTGTATTTGGTATGTTGGCTTGAAATAATACTATTTTCTGACCACTGTGAAGGTGGCAGCTAGCTTAGCTGGTAAAGCCCCTTGGGTGGTACCAGGATTGAATCCCGTCTTTTCTAGGTTGGTGAATTATGGTCGGAGAGGCTTACCACTTAACCATTTGACTTTTTTTTTTTTTTAATGTGTGTGTGTGTGTGTGCACGCGGGGTGGTGGGAGGGGGAATTTGAAACCAAAAAAGAGAAGGAAAAAAAAGAAGAGTACAAGGGGTCAACATGTGTGAGGAGTTCATTTTAACCAACTTCTGATTTTGATTCTGTTCTTCTGAGCAGGTAGATATTTTTGACAGAAGCATCCTTTTCCCCCTCTAGTGCTTTAACTGACGCATGTCCATTTTATCTGTTAACCTCATATTTGTTAGTAAGATTTCTTATGGTTCCTTGCTTCTATATCTCACTTGCACATCCTCTCATTTTCATTGCACAAGCAAGTGTTTCTGATTCTAAGACTAGGCTACTGAATGCCAGATTAATGGGTTCCACAATTCAATTTTGTGTTCCTCTTCACGTTATCTTCTGATATTTCTTTGTTGTCTGATAGATGGAGCTTCCTCACTGGACTGACATTGTGAAGACTGCGAAATTCAAGGAGCTTGCCCCATATGACCCTGATTGGTACTACATTAGAGCTGGTGTGTGATTCTTTTTTTTACCTTGTTCCTCTATCTGAACTGCGTGCAGACATGCATATGCGTTATCAACCATTCTATATATCGTACTCAATATATCCTTGATTTTGTTGGCAGCTTCTATGGCTAGGAAAATCTACCTGAGAGGTGGTCTGGGTGTTGGTGCTTTTCAGAGGATATATGGAGGAAGCCAGAGGAACGGGAGTCGCCCACCCCATTTCTGCAAGAGCAGTGGAGCCATTGCACGACACATCCTCCAGCAACTGCAGAACATGAACATTGTTGACTTTGACTCCAAGGGGTGAGTTTCTTTTATACATTTTTTGGCTTCTTGATTCATATCCCCAGGTGGGGTTGCATTTGTAGTTGGGAGGACTGACAACTGATCCAACTCTTAATGTTCTGTTTATTGTATTTCTCATTCTACATATTTATGAAAGGGGACATTGTGGGGACAAGAAATGAAAGCTGATAAAATACATTACGATGAGAACTTACTAGACAATTGAAGCAATCATCAAATACCTTTTTATTTGTTACTTTTTTTCACTTTATGCTATCATTCTGGAAGTTGAAATTGTTAGGGTGTTTGTTCTTCCCTATTGGAGTAGTTTAGTATCGAGTACGTTAACATTATTTTTGTAACACACCTCTGAAGAAGAAATATTACATATATAAGGCGTAGACAGTGAAAAATAATGAAGGGTCCAACTTGATATGATGAAATTAGTCGCTGTATTGCTAAATATTTTTTGAGAACCTAAGTGTCTTTTTATATATTTATGTGCAAGTCGAGAATAGTATAGTTGTCACGGCCTCGGCCCGCATGCCTTGCTACGGCGTCGCCCAACATGCCATGCCATTTACAATGGGTCAATTATTTACTGAAACATTGTTCTTTTGCTTCAGTGGGAGGAAAATCACGTCAAGCGGCCAGCGAGATCTTGATCAAGTTGCTGGAAGGATTGCGGTGGTTGCACAATGAGAGAGGAAATCAGAGGTTAAATCAAGTACTCGGGAAGGATTCATAATGGTGGTTGTTTGGATGAGAGTAGATTTGTAGTGTTAAATCAAATTTTCCGCCCAATTGCATGGTGCCCTATAAAGACATTGCCCATTTGGTTCGGTGTTCTTGTTCGCTTTTGATTTTTTGGTTGTGTTGTTCCTGAAACCCTTTTTATTATTATTATATATTTTTTCTTTTGACAACTCTATTTATGGTAACTTGTTCATCAAAACTTTTTGCTGGTAATTCTAAATGTAACCTTTTCTTCTCATTTTCTTGATGCGGAGCTGCTACGTAGCTCAAATTACATTTGACTTGAAATAGTTCAAATCTAAAACGGCGTTGTTTTGGTTTTTATTTTATTTTTTTCTTCTTTTTTTTCTTTGTTTTGAAACTGAGAGGATGAAGATGATAAAGAAGAAGAAGAAGAACAGATAAGATGGAGCTGGGACCAATAACACATCATCAACATCAACCACCATCATTCACAAAAAAATAAAAATAAATAAAAATAAAAAATGTATACACAAATCATAAAAAAAAAAATCGAGAGAGCATCATCATCAACACCAGAGAGAGCATCATCATCAACACCAGATCATCTTCTTCATTGTTTCTCCTTCTTCATCTATACACACACATAATATATATGAGAGAGAGAGAGCACCAGATCTGTGCGATGATGCTCAAATATCTATATATATATATATACACACATATCTATATATATATATGAGAGAGAGAGAGGGCCACCCACCAACACAGAGAGAGAGAGAGGGCCACCAACTGACTAACCGGCGCCGTCATCACCGTCTTCTTCTCTACATGTCTTTTCTTTCCATCTTTTCTCCTCTCTATTTCTCACATCTTCTCTCTTTCTTCTTTGTTTCAGAGAGAGAAGGGGAAGAAAAGAAAAGGCAAAAAAGAAAAAGAAAATATTCAAAACAACGTCATTTTGGGTATTTGAGCCAATTCGGACCAATAATTTTCGAGTTACCAAGTATTATCCTTCTTGATGTGTTGATAAGTCGATTTATATACATTTTGGGTTTTGATTTCTCTCTTATTGGGTTTTTGTAATGAACTGGATATTATCCTTATACAATTCTCTGTGCCCCTAACTGTTATGTTTTTTTTTTTCCTCATTTTTCGTTGGGCATTTTTTTTTTTTTTGAGAATTTTGTTTTGTTCAATGTTTTACAAACCATATATAGATAAGCGAACTGGAAAATGGATCGGGTAGATGGGTTACCGACTCAACCGTTGAGATGAATTGGAATCGAATTGTGACATCATAAATATATTTAAATTATATCTAAATAAAAATATAAGTAATAAAATTAAAAATTAAAAATTTGATATATTAAATTATCTTTAATATTTTTCATAATATTTTTTTACAAAAAAATATAATAATATATTTTAAAATATTATTAATTTTAATTTTGAACAAGGAAACTAAATATTCAATATGTTTTCCATATGATTTTAATTTAAATAATTTGATTGAAAGAAGAGTAAAAATTTTGAAGAGATATCAAAATTTCTAGTCTCCTTTCAATAAATTTGATTGGATCTCACATGAATTTCTTGAATTTTTTGGAAGAATTTTTTTCTTATAAATAGGTAGAAACTATCACAATAATTTCAAACTTTTAGTAGGATTTCTCACAAGAAGAGACTCTTAAAAGAGAGTTTTCAATTAATTTTTTCTTGCATATATAAAATAAGAAAGAAAATAAAGAAAGAATAAAAAAAATAGTTAAAAAATATCAAAAAAAAGTTAAAATTTTTAATTTCATCAATCCAGTCGGTTCGCTTGACCCATTCCCAGATCATTTGATTCGGCGGTCCAACCGTCGATTTTTTTCGGTTATCTCTAAATAGGTCATTTTTTGGCTTAGAATGGTTTAAAAGGTCTGGATTGAAACCCTGGTCGGTTGACAGTTCAACTAGTCGAACTGATCAGTCCGGCCTGATTTTTAAAACCATTATTTGATGTTTGAAAATACTTTTCTCTAATAGTCAAAAAATATATTTTCAAAATATGAAATATCAAGATAATAAATATATAATTATTTCATTGAAGTTGGTGTAAGCATATGTTTTCATATCTTATCATTCTCTTTTCCTTTCCCAAAATATGAGGGGATTCCTACTTCTAAAACACAATTCAAAGGATTCCTGAAACTGTCTTTATTTATTTGCTTGTTTATCATTTAAGGCTGGGCCAAACACTGAGGGTAGAGAGAATACTTGAAACAGTTTTTATTTTAGATGATTTAAATAAGTATATTTTTTAAATTTTTATGAAAAAAATATATAAAAAAATAGAGAGATGATATAATCAAAATAAGTGCACTTATTTAGATTATGCCACATAATACTTTATTATCACCAATTTAGGTGGCTATCAAAGAATGCTGGAGGATAAACTCCAATTTCAAAATAAATTATAAAAGCATGTCCAGTAAATATTTTACACAATACGTAATATTTAGTAGTAATGATCTGCCAAAAACTATTGTTAAGGTATAATATTATCAAATCTTATGCCAAATTTAACATAAAGTTTAATAATAATAGAAAAGAATTGGCAAAGTTGTGGCCACCAAACATTTTTCTATAATAAATTAGGAATACAATTTGGTCGGGCCCAATTCGTGCAACTTGTGCTCAATCTGAATATTTTTAGGATTTGGACAAAATATTTTTAAATTCAGTATGAGTTTGGATAAAAATTCAAAAATTTAAATTAAATTTGGACCGATTTAGACAAAGATATCAAACAACACGAAATCCGAATTATATATGTAACCATATAAATATATTAAATATACATATAAATTTTTAATCATTGGATGATATTAAACTAATTTAGATCGTTAAATCGTATCAAATATATATTATATACACAAGTAACACAACTCAAAAATTCTCACTCAAATTGTAAAGGCCACCATTGTGATATCTCTATTACATTATATAATTTTTTTTTTGATATTATTCATGATTTTACATATAAAAAAAATGTAAATACAATCTACTTTTAACAAAGTAATTAATTTAGTTATACTAAAAAAAGAAAAAAAAAATTATGTGCAAGTCGGGCAATTCAAATTTAACTCGGGTTAGGTTTGGATAGATAATCTTAGGTTACAATTGAGGCGTGGGTAGAGTTGGACAACTCTCAGCACAATTTAGGTTGGGTTTGGACAACCTCTCAACCTAAGGATGGCCATGGGGAGGGTTTGCCATTCCTTGCCCCTGCCAACAAACTCTACCACCGCACACGCTATGGGTGAAATTTTTCAACCCCACCCCCACCCCCGTCCCCGCGAACACCCAATACTTGCGAATATCTGACCACATTTCAAATAGTCAAAAAAATTAAGAACCATTTAAATTCTTAACACATTAAATAATTTTTTTTATTTTCATACATATAAACAGTAAAACTTTTAAGATTATTATTTATTTATATTTAAACAAAATCATAAACTTTTAATATTATTTTCTTATATCTAATTATATTATATATACATATTATTTATTTATATATTATTAATTATATCGGGTTGGGTTTGTTGGACAATCTTCACTATATTTGAAAAATAAATTCTGTTGTGTACTAAACAACAAACAGAATATAAAAGAAATAAAAGAAAGGAGAGAACTTGTTTGATTACAAAAATCAAACCAGAAAAATAAAATAAAATAAATAAAACAGATTTTATTTTGTTACAAAAATAAAATTAAAATCTGATTTAAATAAACAAATAAAACAGAAAAATAAATTGAACAACTTACTTGATTAATTTCTTCGAATAATAATCTGATCAAGTCTGGTGTTCGACATTGTGTTTTTAAGACAGATTCGTCATCTCCTCAATGCTTTCAGAATATGGACGTTTATCTCCCAGGATGAAATGATCAACAACAAATAAATGCAGCACTACAATTTATTTGTTCAACTAACACACTTAGTGTATATACTCTTTTTGGACAGGAAAAATAATAGAATTAATGCAGCAAAAATGCAGAGATGATATTGCAGCAAGGATAGATGAAAATTGGAATAGAAATCCAAATGAGGGACTAGTCTATTTATAGAGATGAAGTGGTGGCTTGGTGGCTGCTAATTTTGAATTAAACAGGTACAACACCTGTTCAATTTAAATTAAACAGATAGGCACTGTTTGGTTTGAATTTCAAACAATTCAAAAACCTGTTTTGGGTGGATTTGAATTTGAACAGAACAAATTCAATTTGGACATATTCAGATCTGTCTGTGAAGAGGTGCAACAATTTTGAATTCAAAAATTGAAATTTAAATCTGGACAGAAATTCGAAATGAATTTTTGGACAAATTTTATTTTAAAAAATAAAATCTAAATTCAAATGTTTTTGACCCAAAAAAATTAGTATTGGGCCAAACAAGCCTAACCCAACCTCACACCATACACCCGCGCCTAAGCCCAGCCACCTGACCAGACGGACGGCAGCGACGGCGCGCGCGTGTGTGGTGATTTTTGGGTCCAATGGGTCTAGCCCATAACCTCCATCTTTATAAAACTTAGGTACCCCTTGGGGCACACCCCAAGTTCCAATCCGATACCTTATAAACCGATTCAAAACTTCCCACCAAATCAATGTGGGACAAGCCATTTTTCAACCTTAAGGAATTTTCACCAAAACTCCATTTCCATAGAGCACACTTTGGCTTCAATTTCTCATTCACTCGATAATGGTTTTGAGCAACCAAATATACCACGTGAATCACAACGCGTCATAGAACGCGTTACCACTTCGACCCGCCAACTTTGGCATACGGGTCCCACCTAAATAATTGACCAAAGATAGGAAAATTTTTTGTTTTACCCATAATTTTTCCAACCATTTCCAACAATCCCCCGCATGAATGGAATTTGATGATAACAGAAATGCAACAATATGCAGACTTTATCGAAAGAGTATAATTCGAAAATATCTTGCATCAAGATAGGTAGCTTTCGGCCTTGAATCTTCCCTAGTGATAACCTGTCGGACTTACTAGCTAACCAATGGACGCGATGCCTTGAATTGTTCAGCCGTTTGTGTAAGCCAAGACAATAGATTTCACACAAAATATCTTCTAACACATCATGGTTCTCACTATTGTGTTCATGTTGGCCTTGAATGCTTCTGGTTTTCCTGAGTGTTTTTAGAGAATTTAGCCTCTTCATTCTCATAGAACCGGCCCTAGTTCAACACTCATATAAGTGATTCTTA